TAAGGTTCGTTTTCTCCATCTTATTAGGTTCAATGACTCTTTCGAATCATTTGCTTTCTCCGAGGAAAAAAAAATTATTACCCTTCTATTATTTTCCTGACGAATGATGCTCTCATCTTTTCAGATCGAAATTTATCGGTAAAAGAAGGTACCGAGAATAGAAAAATCGGTAGATAACTCGTCTATGGAAAAAAAGAGATAGTACTAGTTTCGATCCACGACATTTGTCTACTTCTATCCGTGAAACCATTTGTTACCTGTCATGCGAACCATACTCCAACAACTCTCCTGATAATTCTCTCTCTCTTTCTCTCTCTCTCTCTCTCTCTCTCTCTTTCTTTCTCTCTCTCTCCTTCTCTCTCTCTCTCTCACTCTCTCTCTCTCTCTCTCTCTCTCTCTTTCTCTCTCTCTTTCTCTCTCACTTCGTGATATATTTCATCAAGACTATCCTCCGTCATAGCATCTAAAATGCTTCGTTCATGTCGAAAATCGATGTTCGCTCTATCGAAAATAAATCCGTCCGGAAGAAAATATCTTCGAAAAAGAGCTGGATATTCGAATTCGAGAATTGCAATCATGTCACGTAGGAAACATCGAGGGCAGACCTTTGGTCTCTTCAACGATTGCTTTTTCAACCGACAAATTTTCTCCCCCCCTGTATGATTCGTCCCACCTTTCATTCCTTCTTTCTTTATTTTCTTCTTTTTATCTTACTTTCAAAGATGAGATGCCATTCCTTACTCATTGTCAGAAGAAGGGCCTTCAGGTTCTATAAGTGAAAAATTTTTAATTGTCCTTTGCTCTACTCTGCTCTGCTGTATACAAGAAACTTTTTCTTTCTTTATTGATAAATCCTGAAATCTAAATGATTTTGACTAATGTTCCTTAAGAATTACAATTAAGATTAACAAGGAGAACGAGGACTACGATCATTTGCGAGCTAATCGATGAGTGGAATTATTTATTGTAAGATTTACATATTATATTATCTATAGTCTCCTATAAAATTGGAAATAACATTTGGGCGAATAAAATGCATCGAATCAATTTGTTTATTTTATATTATTTGAGAATAAATAATAATAAAATATCAGGATTTTATAAATTCAATTAATTATACAATATGTGCTACCATAATTTTAATGAAAACCGAATAAATAAATAAATAAATAAATAAATAAATGGAACACCCTGTGTACATTATCGTAACTTTTATTCTCATTATTATTATTATTATTATTATTATATACTTTATTATCATATATACTAATACGCGATTTCTCGTCTAGATAAATGATGAAATAATTAGATAAAAAAAAAGAAAGCATTTGGAGATTTTCCCTTCTAATAATTTTTTATCGCGGACGAGAAAACTTCTCGCCGTAGAATTTATATGAGAGTAAATTAGAAAAAGAAATTTGTTGGATCGTTGCCAAGTCCTTTGAGTAAGTTTCGTCTTCAAGAGGCGGATTTTAGGATGATCTGATGTGCGCGAGTGGAATCAAAATCGAAAGAGATGCAAGAGACTCGTGGCGGACCACATTTTGGAATAATTTAATTAGCGAGCGTACGAAGTGAAGTGCCAGGTCTTATCCCGTGGGTTTAATAGCGAGCTCTTGGCCGTGTCTAACTTGGATACACCAGGGACTTCGTGCTCTCTTCCCCTTCCATTCCATTTTCGGCCCTTCTACTTCCACCCCTTCCACATTGTATCTATTGTATACCGCGAGCTTGCAAGCTCCGTTGAAAATGCAGGGCCCGACGCAACCAAAGCGAAATCGTGCAAACGACGGAAACACCCTCCGTTCTCACGACCTTTATCACGGAGGATGCCGTTTGATACGTTAATTATGCATTGGATCCTCTGAATACGGGGCCGTGTCGAAAGGATTAAACGTTTAGCACGTCTACTCGTTGAAATACGGTGGTTAAACTCGAAATTGAGAGGAATGCCCGCTTTTCTCTAGCAGTTTACCAGAAGTTAAGAGATTTCATTCAATCGATATCAAATGTATTTAAAATATTTACGAAATAATAAAAAAAAGAAAAAAATTGAGAAGAAAAGTTGACTTCTCGACTTTTTCATCAATCCGAAACGTATAAACAGTACATTTTTTTTAGTGTAGAAAAAAAGAAAAAAAAGAGAGAAGAAACACGTAATTTATCGTTTCTTGATCACGACGAGTAGAGAATTGAAAATGGTTTGAGTAGATGATGGTGGTGTGTCAAAGAATACTCTGAAAGGAAAACTTTTAATTAAAAAGTAAGCATCGGCGTTGAAAAGAAAGAGAGAGAGAGAGAGAGAGAGAGAGAGAGAGAGAGAGAGAGAGAGAGAGAGAGAGAATGCATGGTGAGTTTCGAGCAATTTGTGGCGATATAAAAGTTCCTCCTTGGTCCTCTCAGAATTGGCAATAGAAACGACGGGGTGTTCTTTTTCTCTACAAGTTGCAACCCCTCGTATTCGTCTTCGTCTTCGTAGTAGTTCGTGGTAACGGGAAACCTAAAAAAGGCGACTGTCGACATTAAGATCCCATTTAGAACGATATATTCGTGCTCTTAAATTTATAATAAGAAAAAAAAGAAAAAGAAATCAAATTCTCTTTGAACTCGACCAATTATTTTCCATTGTGAAAGTTGTTGTTGTTGTTGTTGGTTTATTAAAATAAATAAAAACATCGATGAGAAGACCCTTCTCAGAGTTTGATTGAAGACTTCGATACGATTGAAACTTCGTAATTCTTTGTCTTCCTCGAATTTACAAGAAAAACCTGGTTATTACATTAACTTTCCCAAAGTGAAAAGATATAATGCTTCGAAAGAAAGCGTAAGAAAGTTAAGTCGATTTTATTATATTATTTCTATTATGTATATAGAATAAGAGAAAGGGAATAAAGAATCGCAATACAAAAAAGTATCACGCTGATATACAAATGAAAGACTAATTGATGATATGAAATCATACTGTAAAAATTAGTTTAACGAAAATGCGTAGTACATTTTGTTAATATTAGCTTGTATCAAGCACCTCGTTAAAATTATGGATTTTATATTTCTTCTCTTTTATAACTATCAATATTGTAATTATTAGAGAAATGTTTTTTCTTTATTTATTATTGTAAAATTAAATTAGATTAATAAAAATAATAACGAATATATAGAGTGAAACAGAAACAGAGAGAGAGAGAGAGAGAGAGAGAGAGAGAGAGAGAGAGAGAGAGAGAGAGAGAGAGAGAGAGAGAGAGAGAGAGAGAGAGAGAGAGAGAGAGAGAGAGAGAGAGAGAGAGAGAGAGAGAGAGAGAGAGAGAGAGAGAGAGAGAGAGAGAGAGAGAGAGAGAGAGAGAGAGAGAGAGAGAGAGAGAGAGAGAGAGAGAGAGAGAGAGAGAGAATCGGAAAAAGGGGGGGAAAAAGGAGGCGTGACCGCGAAACATAGGCATGCACGATGCCCTCGTCACTTTTAGTTGCCATCAGCCACTTCTGATCTCTGATTGCTCAGTGCCTAATTAAACCGCACTACCAGCTATCCCTTGGTCACTGAGAATCGTTTCGCGAAGGGTAGGAAAGCAATAAAGGGCAGTAGTACCGATCGAAAAGAGTACGGAGGGGTCGTCTCTTCGAATCAATGCAAAAGCCTACAGAAGATCATCCTTTTCTCGATCCTATTTCCATCATGCTCGTTATTATGAATATCAAAAGAAGCCATCAAGCTTTCTTTATATTACGAGTCAGTATATAGATTGATTCTAAATTAAGAACTAGTTGAATATTTCATTTATTAGAAATAATAAAGAAAAAATTTATTATGAAAATTTTCTTGATTTCATAAGTCACATATTTTAAGAATAGGAAATAAAACACCCTACTTTTGGTTAAATTGAAAGATTAAAGATTTTTAGTTTTTCTTATAGAACATTAGATATTTTATTCGATTATCTTGAAAAAATTATTAAACAAGTACAGTCTAATTTATTATTTATTAAGCAAGTTATTAAGCAAGTATATATATAATTATTTACTTTAGAATTAACGAAATATTAACGTATATAATTATATGACCAACAATATATATTTTCAAATGTAAACACTCTTAAAAGGCTATGAAAAAATGAAAAACATACAATAAAAAGATCTTATAATAAGTTTAGTTGATATTTTGCTAATGCTATTCATCGAAAAATTTGTAATTTAAAATTAATTAATAACAACAAGAATAATAGCTTACTTAATTCAATAAATTTTCAAAATATCCACCATTATCTTACATGCACAATCAATATCTTATAAGCATACTTCTTTGTGCAATTTGTAACATTTCAAGTGTTATTTAACATGTTGTCGCAAATGACGGCTATAGCCGTCCAATTTTTGGCGATATGTAGGCAAATGATGGCTATAACCGTCTTGTACATGACAATTGACGCTCAATTTCATATAACAGTCATAAATAATTGAAAAAAAAATGTGTTTCCGAGCACGATCGTCAAATTAAAAGTATGCAACAACATGTTAAGTAACAACGTTTGTAATTTTCGCTTATAATTCTTTTAAATTTCTAAATGTTGTTTAATATATTTTTATATTTTATAAATTCTCATACAAAAAATTTAAAGGTGTATCGGTAAATCTAGATAATCTAGGTTGCCATCATAGGTTTCCTTGGTTAGCAATGGAACCATTACATAATGATTCCCAATAGTTTCACGGTGTTTAGTATTACTGTAACATTTACATACGTAGCATACTTCACATGTTAATATTTATCTCATTGATTATTGACTTTAAATTTATATTTATTTAATATTTTTTTAAAAATAATTGATAAAGATAGATAATTAATTAAAAAAAATATAGAGTATTCCATAAGAAAAACTAAAGATTATTGAATTTTTTATTTAACCAAAAGTTGGACGTTTTATTGACATATTTGACATAATTTTGATATTATGAAACTTTTATTAACATATTCTCGTTTTTATTATTCTTAATACTAAATATACCGGCTATTTTAATATACATTTCTACCAAAACCAGTCAGAATGACTGGTGTAAAAAAAATCCTTATTGAGGCTTTCAGTTTTTATTCACTCTTAAAACATGACGAAAAAAATTGATTAATATCGATTTTAATAGATAAATGGATTAATAGACACTATCAAGAAACAAAACGCTCAATTGTTTACAGTTTGTCCATTACAATTTTTACATATGTAGATTTTGTTGTGTGTACTCTTTCCGCATACATTTTTTTTGCATGTATTGCAAATTTTTGTAGTCTTATTGTTGGTGCAATATCCTATTTGATCCATTTGCGTACAGGAACCGTGCCACTTGTAATTGGTATATTGGCTTCGTGTAGTTTTTGCCTTGAAGTCTGATATTCTGAAGCAAGCTCTTCTGCTAATCGAAACAAAAAGTCTTTACGTGTGATATTTTCTCCTGTTGTATTTTTGTACAATATCCAAGAATTTATTCCGGCTAAATCTAAAATATTGAAAAAAACTTGAAGTGGCCACCTTCTGGAACTTGATTTCACGGTATATTCTCGTGCCATTTGATCAGTGACATCGACGCCAAATTTAGTTCTATTATAAAACGATACAGTTTCAGGTAATTTCTTAGCAGTTTTATCAATTGTGATGTGTTTATGCTTTGTACTTAGTATAAGTACTTTTTTATTTGGTTTGCTCTTGTAAACGATAAGTGTGCATCCATTGGATTGATATAACGACGTTGAGAAACAAGCCATGCCATCTTTTTTCAGTTTGCAGGTTTTCGACAGTTCCCTCTTGTTTGCGCGTATTGTTCCAAACAACGAGGTATTTTTAGATTTTAATTTTAACACCAAAGAAAAACTTATAAAAAATTATGGGTTGTCACAATTTGATACGTCATGGTATACGGTTCAAGAAGTTTCATTACAACAAATTCGCTTAAAGGGGTTGATGCATCCCGAGCCTCGTCTTTTCCTAAATACGGAAACCCACTTACCACATATTTCGTCTATGCATCAGAGGCTAGCCAGAATTTTATGCCAAATTTATGGGGTTTGTTTAGCATATACTTGGTAAATCTGCATTTGGCCTTCGTTGGAAAGAGTTGCTCATCCGCAGTAATATAAACTCCCGGTTTGAAGCAATTTTGACTGTTTTCAATAAATTTGTCCCAAACTGCTGAGGGTAAAGCGAATTTGTCTGTTTGCAAACGTCGACTTCTCTGATTTCTTTTGTCGAAACGAATATATCGCAGAATCTCAGTAAAATTGCCATATGTAATGTATCGGTCTCATGATTCTCCAGAAATCATATTTTTGTGTCTATAAAACATTGCATTACTCATCAATTTCTCCCCAATGTCTTTTTTTTACAGAATTTCTTCATAAAAACGTGCACCAGTCATTTTGACTGGTACTGATATAAGTATCAATAACAAAAAATATATTTGTTACTATTATATATAACGTAATATTAAGTTCATAAAATATATTCTCTACTTATAGCTACAAAAGTCACAACATCATTTCGGAAAGCAAATGTTACATGCAGTAGGAATTTTGAATTTAAATTGCATGACCAGTCAAAATGACTGGTCTGGTAAATCTAGTGTTAACAAAAGAGATATTCAACTGGCCTTTAATTTAAAATTAACCCTGTACATATATACGGCGTATCATCTAACTCGAGCAGTTGAAATGTTTTTTTTTTCTGATACAAATGAATTTCAAAGAAAAACATTTTTTTAATTAAAAGCGAGAAATATTCTTATCGACATAAATTTTTGTTCCGAGATTTCAAGATTATCGGTAATTTTTTAAACGAGTTTACATACTTTTATTAACACAATATTGTACCTTACAAAACGATGTATTTAACAATATGAATTTGTTAACCTTTCAGATGACCTTGAATAAGAAAAAATTATATTTTATAAAAATCGAAAAAATCTAAAATTTAATTATTTTATTACAGAACATTTATTTAAAAAGGCGAACGAATGATTTAAATTATTTTCAATATTATTATATCATTCATTAAAGTACAATATTACGTGCAATATAATGATACAAAGAAATAATTCATTAACCGTAATGAAAAATAAATTGATAGGAATTATTGTTAGACGAAACATTCCGTAGATACAATATAGAAAGAAACCTTATTTGATTTAGATGTTATCGCAAACTAATGTGAAATCGAAGTATCAAACTAAACCTACAATGTATAATGACGTTAAGTGTGTATGTATATATAAGTACACACACACACACACGCGCGCGCGCGCGCGCGCGCATGCACACATATATGTACATACTCTAATCTAATTTCTATGACTTACCAAGCTACATCTATTTGTTCGATCTTTCGTTCTTTCGTTCTATTTCTCAAGGCAGTGTACTTGCTATAAAGAAACATGTATTTTTTTCATCCGTCTCAACGAGCGACAATTACAGTTCAATAAAAGGGTACACGATTCCTTTTCCCTTTTCTTCGTTCTTTACAAAAGAAAAAATAACGTATACGGGGGTAATGGCAATATTGAGAGACAAATTGCTGAGAATTCGATCGATGATGCATGTTCAGACGTCCAAAGAGGACGTCTGAAAAGGATCAAAGAAAGAATTTATATCATCAATAAATTCTTTCGAAATAAATTCGCGATCATTTCATTAGCGATCTTCCTTTTAATCCCCTCCCTCCCACCTCTCTCTCTTCGTATCACATCCTGGATAAACAAATTCTGTCTGACAATTTTATATCATCACGCTAACTCCAAATAGGCTCATATATTATTATAGAAATATATATTATAATAGATCATCGTTTTTATATGGATCTTTTCGACAAGGTTTTGACGTTAATAATTCTGATCGATTTCTTAAATCATCGGAGGGAAGCAATATCGATGCTTTCGTGAGAAAGGTCGATCGATTGGAAGGAACGTGACCGGTAAGTTCGATATCGTCGAAGGTAGAAAAGAAAGGTAGGAGAGAAAGAATTTATATCGACGATAAATTCCTTTTCGCTTTCATTAGTGGCCTTGTCGGACGTATACGTGTAAGGTGTATATATGTTTGTATATACAGGGTGTTTCACCTAACTCATCTCGAGTATTTACTTGAAGTATCATCAATTAGTTTTAATGATACGACAAAATATCGAGAAATTGTTCGATCGAAACGAGGATGGTTATTCTTAATTTATTTTTCAAAAAAAATTTTTTGTATCTAAACGTCCAAATTTTATATTTTGTTCGCTTCCTCTGCAAGTCTTGTTCAAGATCATTTAAAAGTAAATAAATTTGTATCGTCAAATTCGTTCTTTTGTAAACTTTCGATATTTCAATAATAAAAACATGACAATTTATTTGCAAAAAAAAAAAAAAAAGATATCGAAGACAATAAAATCTCGAAAAAAATGAACTTCTACTTTGAACGAAATTTTACCCTAATATTATTCGTGATATTGACCACTTCGGATCAAATGATTTCCTTCTTTTTTATACTTTTTTCTTATCCAAAGGTCATCTTGGAAAAAATCCAATGTTTAAGTGAAACACCCTGTATGTAATATGTACACGCTGCTACCTGTCGCTAGGGTTCACAGAAAGAGAGGATACAGGACGGAAGAGAAAGATTTAGCACAACGTCCTACGTCCTTTTTCTTCGTTGTCGAGCGTGCGAGTGCGTGATCACGACGATATCGTCGATCGAGCTTAATTAAAGGGGATCAAATCCTTCCCTACCCCTTCGCCGCTCTTTACACGACCCTGTTAACCCTTTGCAAGACCGATGAGAGAACTGCTCCAGGACCGAGAGTGTCGTCTCTTCTCACGTTACGAAAGCTATATTTATGTTAAGCTCGACGATTTACGATCAACTAACTTCTGTGATTATTAAACGTTGATATATAACACGTTGGATTCGCAACAATTTTCATTGATGTCATTTATGATACTCCAAAACTTTCTATGTGAACTGAGACGAATAAAATGATAATTTATCAGATAAGATCAAGGAGATTGGATTTCCTTAGTAGGGAAAACGCATATTATGTGCCTTGTGTTGGATTCTTCAGTGAAAGTTATAAAAAGCCTATGAAAGTAGGTTACAACGTAATATTAACATTCGGTGAAATACAAAGGTAGCATGGGGTGGCTTTCTAATAACTTTGAACACAATCTTCATGGGATAAAAACAAGAGAAAAAATATCGAATGATTTTTGACGAAATCATCCGTAAAGAGCACGTGTTTGTTTACACGATAATGTTAAGAGGAAAGGGAGTTTGTAAAGTCTTTTACGCGTAAATAATCGTATATTTTCTTGCGATAAATCACAGATCACTATTATGAACACTCGAGCTTCGTATATCCACTTACTTATATATGTATGTATGTATGTATGAATGTATGTACATACATACATATATACATACATACATACATACATATATATGTATATATATATACACGAGAAAGATTGTAATCAAAGAAATCGAGAAGAGATTCTCCGTATGGATTTATCCCACGTTGATCCGAATCTCTTATCTATTGATTTATTAACGACTCCTAACTCCTAATTAAATCTAGATATCCTGTTTCATATGTTCTCTTTCCGTGACATAGGTATCAAGTTAGGCATCTGAAATTTCTACAGAACGTGAAAGTTCCTTAAGAGAGGTAAGTCTTTTTAGACGTTTGTAATTTATGCTTGACAAAATCAAAAATGATACAATCTCGTCTATCGGTATTTACATGAAACGATTTTCGATTGTCGCATGACAAAGAAGCTATCGCGAATTGTCTCTCGCTTTATCGATTTATTTATTTTTCTCTCTCTCTCTCTCCCTCTCTCTCTCTCTCTCTCTCTCTCTGTCTCTCTCTCTCTCTCTCTCTCTCTCTCTCTCTCTCTCTCTCTCTCTCTCTTACCATTCCAGCCACGAATTGAAACTTGACGGATATAGAAAACGCTGCGTTAGCAAGTTGGATTCCGGTCCAACCGTCCGTAGTACACACGTTCAAATTTATTCCAAGTCACGAGCAGCACGTGATATCGAACGATCGAGAGCGTCTAACCTCTTTATCTTTCACGCTCGCTCGTTCGTTTTCATCTTTTATTTATCTTCTTATCTCTCACTTTCTTTTCTTCTTATGTCTTTCTTAATATCCTTTGGTACCGAGATTTCCTTGTCCGAACGAATGAATTTAATAATCCCCTAAATGGGAGAGCGCGGTTCGTCCTCAGCGCTAACTTCAATTCGTGCTTTAAATATGCAATGAACGATTTCTGAATACTAAATCCTCGATGAACTCGAAGCATACTCTATGAATACATCTTCTTCCCCCTTTTGTTTCTTCTTTCTTCTCCCTGACTACTCTTTTCCACCCAATTTTCGAAATGTATCTGAAGAACGAGAAAGAAAAACGGTAGAAGACATATTATTTCGAAAATTAATCGTCGAAAATTAAAGCCAACCTCGCAATTAGTTTCTCGCGAACGTATTATTAGGAGTAGGTACGCGTTAATTATAAAACATTGTTGTTATTATCTTAAAGGAATAAGAACATCGGTGTTCATTTTCCAGTGGGACGTCGTCAACGACGTTGAGTGGGCGAGGCAGAGGATAGAACAATGACGAGGCGTATCCTCGAGGAAGGAAAGTTCTCTCTCGAATCAATTATTTCGTTGAAGATCTTTTTGCGACGTGTAACGGACACAGGGACACGTTTTCTTCTTAATATATATATATATATATATATATATATATATATATATATATTATATATATATTATATTATATATATATATATAATATATATATATATATATATATATATATATATATTAAGAAGGGAACTTTTATATACAATGAGTGTAAAAAGTATTTGTACAGCAGTGAATTTGATCAAAAACTTTGTAGAATTATGTATATTTAAAAAAATGTCCACAAAAAAAATATATATATATTTAGAATTATTTATTTATAGTTGTTATGAAAATATTAACAAATTTTCCAAAATTATCAAAGAATGTATGCGTAATAAGTATTCGTACATTTCTACGTTTACAACAAAAACTATATATTTATTTTAATACATAAACGTAACAAAAAACTATTTATTTGCAATTTTAATATCCAGTGGGACTCTCTTTAAATTGTATAATCACTTTAAGCTATTGTAGCATCGAATTTATTACATTTCCGGTTTTAATACTAGAAATTATATTCCACTCTTCTAAGAATGCATTTTTTAAATCTTTCTTTAAAGAAATATGATGATCACGAATTTTTTCTTCGAGATAATCCCGTAAGTGTTCTATAACATTCAAGTCTGGAGATTGTGGGAAGATTTTTAATTGAATTGATACATTATACAGGATCCACTGTCGCGTTTACATTATAAACATTGTGCTTTGGATTATTATTTTGCAAAAACATATAATTGTCCTGTAATCCAATTTTATTTGTACTAGCTTGAAGATGTTATTTTAAAATATCAATATATAATTTATGGTGCATAATACCATCGATAAAATGGAGAGATCCAATCCCGTTTGCATTCATGTAGCCCCAAACTGTGATCGAACCTCCTCCATACCTTACAGATACCTACAAGATACCTGTTTTTCTTATAAGATACCTTACAGATACCTGTTTTTCTCATATTCGATATTCTCTTTCTCTATACATGAATTGTACATCGTTCATTCGATTAAAAAATGTTAAATTTACTTTATTCAGTAAATACAATACAATTCCAGTACTCCATAGGAACATTGACATACTCTTTCGTAAATTTTAATCGGATACATTAACGAAATATTTTCTATGGTCTATTCTGCCATAGTATCCTGCAGTTCTTAAAAAATTACGCACTGTATTACTGCACACATTATTATTAAGATTATTTTTAAATTCAGCAACGATGTTTATTACACTTATCTTTGAATTTTGTTTTATTTTTCGAATTATCTATCGGTGTACTCATTTATTTTGCGTTTCGTGGATTATTTTTTAAACTTTTTCGGTCTCCATATCTGTCAATGATTTCTTGAATCATGGACCATGGTCTATTTACAATTTTAGAAATTTCACTCAGTGTTTTGCACTTATATAAATTTATAATAATATTCCATTTTTCTTCGGTAGTTTTCTTGCCTTTTCGTCCCATTTTACGATTATTACTGTTGACTATATAGAAATTTATAATACTATTAGTATTAACAACGTTTCCAGATATACTGATCCTAGATATATTGATGTAAAAGGTATTTATTCTATGTATAATGTCACGAATCAAGAACTGTATTACACATATATTTTCTGCCAATTTCTAAAAATTTGTTAATATTTTCATAACAAATATAATTAAATATTTATTTTTTAATAACATTCGTTTTAGAGATTTCTAAAAATATGTATATATATCTTTTATGAACATATTTTTGTAAGTTCTACAAAATTTTTGTTCAAATTATCTGCTGTACGAATACATTTTACACTCACTGTATATTTTCTAAAGAGAGCTTGTAAAACAGCAATAAGTTGTTCTTTATTGTTATTTAAGCTCGTTCACGTTCAAACACGTGGTTGCACGTAACTATATACACACTCACACACATATATTGTTATATTATATTATATATATATATATAAAACTTATATAAATTGAAAATAAGGAAAAAAGAAAAAAGAGCGGAGAAAGAATTGTTTCTTTTTGAAAAGGAATAATGACTTATTGAACTTACCTAATGATGTGCTGATTGGTCGACTGCAGCAGTATCGTAGTGTACTTGGTGATCAGCATCTTTTCAGAGAGTCATCCGAAAATAAAGATGCTCTTCTCGTCGTCTACTATTCTTCTATTCTTACGAACAGACACACAGACGGATGTACACAGACGTATACTCTTTTAGTACTATTAATGCGAGAAACTAGCTTTGTAAAGAGAGCGAGATGAGAATGAGAGAAAGAGAAAGAACGAACGTGTGTCCGCTCTTGGTCTCTCTTTCTCTTTTTCTCGCTCTCTCTTTCTCTTTCTCTCTCTCTCTCTCTTTATCTCTCTTTAGCCGCACACTTGACTTCGTATAAATCCGAGCCCAATGTGACTCGTCCTGTAAAAATCAAGCAAAAGACGCGGAATAGCGGCAATAGTAGTCACTAGAGGGAACAGCCACGCGTGTAGATGCTGCGAAAATTCTTACGGCTAAATTTAGAGCTCATATCTCGCCGTGAGCGGCAAAGAGCGTTTCTCGTGCATATAAAAGCCTTCGCGGGTCTACCAGCGCCACTTTGACTTCATTTCTGTCCTTTTCTTTCTTTTTCTCCTCCTCTTCCTCCTCTTCTTTCTCTTCTTCTTCTTCTTCTTCTTCTTCTTCCTCTTCTTCTTCTTCTGCTCCTCTCAGCAAATGACAACGTTTCTTATGGTTCTTCGAGAATACGATGAACGGCATCGTCTTCTACAGGAAGAGACGAAAGACGTCTTCCTCCTCCTACTCCGCCTCCTCTTCTTCTGCCTCTTATTTTCCTCTTCTCTTTCAACTCTCAGAAAGTCTAATGTCTTGTCTCTCAATCTTCTTGACGTTGGTCAGGGAGTGTCATCGGCTTTCGAACTTTCGAACGATCAAAGGAATCGATGTTGGATGTGTTTATTTACGAGCTTTTGCCATGACGAAAATCCTTCTCAACTTAATCTTCTCCATAGCTTTTACTACCTACGCCGACGACGATGCTACTGTCCGATACACGAAGAACGGTGCTGCTGTTAAGCTGGTGTATTTTGCTTGTTTACGGGTATTTTGCTTTGTGTATATATTTGCGCGTACGTGCGTGAATGTTGAGAGACGTGACCCAAACTCTCATCCATGATCGCTTCTTGCACGATAGGTTCGTCCTTCTGTTATGCGAGACTTTAAAAAAAGAAATATCTTTCGATATGTAGGTGTATATGTGCGTAAACTTCGCATAGTAAATTTAACAAAATAAATATAAACTGAATATCGGATTAGAATAAATAATTATATAAATGATATGAAACGAATGAATGGATAAAAATATTATATGAAGAGTCGATTAATTCATAATTCTTTAAATTCGTTCCTTTAATCTTCTCTATAATATCATTCTGTAATATATTTCTAATCATTACATAAATATCAACTATTTATATTCCTATTCGTAAACTTTCCCTTACTTTTCATTAATCCAGAAGGCTTTTGCGAATCGAGCATAAATCAACGAATATACGAAAGCCTCGTCGCGCTTTCCATGATCTTTCGATACGACCCACGCGTAATCTCGATTTCGTGCGATACGATTCTAATCCTTAGGACTCAGTGCAGATTAATATTGAATAGATCGACCACGAGGTGTGGGCAGATATTATAATTAACGAAGCACGTGGGGTACCAGTCTGTTGCGCCCGTTACACGACCGTTTTAATATTTTACGTCAGCGTTAATAAGCGCAAGTAATTCGAGTAGGAAGGGAACGTGTACGTACGTACATACATAAATATATATATATACATATGTACATGGCTATACAACGCGCGATACGAGTTCGTTCAAGGGAAGAGATTTATATGATCGACGTAGCTCGATCGTAAAACAAATACGTACGGAACGGCTTTATGGATCGCGACGAAATACGATCGTAAAAAAATTAAAACGAACTTCGAATGTGAATATTTTTAATGAATTGTACTTAAGTATGAGAGAGAATTTATTTAATAGAAAAGAAAGATAAAGTAATGTAAAATTATAAAACCATCGATCCAATAATTTCTATTATCAAAATATATATATATACACACACACATACATACATACATATATATATATATATATATATATATATATATATATATATATAGTATTTATCAACAAATTGTTAATTGGAAACTGATTGTATATTGAATATGACAAATGTTTCCTTTACTATAGAAAATTCGAATTGGCGATACGTTCATGATAATTGATGAGGCGTTCGTCCAAGGATGTGAATAAGTAAACGATCTTATTTTCTCTTTCTATCTACCTTTTCTTTCAGAATACCCTTCGCAACAACTCTCTTTAACAACATACCAACTTTCGAAGAGAGGACGGCCTCGAGAGGACTCGAAACGGCCCTGCCGTTGCGTACACCTCGCAAGAAAATCTTTGGACGGCTTGCAACCAAAGAGAGAGATAGACAGAAAGAAAGAAAGAAAGAAAGAAAGAAAGAAAGAAAGAAAGAAAGAAACAGAAAGAGAGAGAGAGAGAGAGAGAGAGAGAGAGAGAGAGAGTGAGAGAAAAAGAAAAGGACGAGATTCTCCTTCAATGATCCAACACAAACCGGTCGCCAAAATCGCGAATCCCAATTTGAGGATACCGTTGTCAATTGAGATGCTTCGAGAGAAAAAAATGATTTAAATACAAAATATAATGAAAAAAAAAAGAAAATACTCATTAGTATTTTTCTCTACTATTTCCACATTATCTTCTATTTTTGATCTTTTACAGTAACAGATTATCTGATTTGAGAAAAAAGAAACGTATGTACGCGTAAAAACGATTAATAAAATTTCCCGCAACTACTTCCATTTGCATTCTATCTTAATTGAGAGACTCTCAATTAAAAGTAATTACGAATAAAATCTGCGTCGAAACTTCCTACGATTATTTCTTTTTCTCTTCAATGGAATGGATTCATCTCCTCGTCCGATCAGTGAAAAGGATCTTACTTTCTAGGGCGCGACGAAGCTAAAGGCCGCAATATTCAATCGTATCGAGAGAGAATGTGTGTGTGTATGTGTGTGTGTGTGTGAGAAAGAAAAAGAGAGAGAGAGAGAGAGAGAAAAGCTCGCTATATTCACGAATCGTTTATCGTTTAGAGGCTTTATTTTCCCGGAGGCGAATAAGCACCCGACCGGCTTTGCTTTACGCGTTTCTACCTCGAATTGATTTCATGCTTGATCGCGTCCGAGTCTGGGTCATCCGTGGTTAACTCTCGAGTGCTTTCGAGTATTCCAAAACGAAATTGGAAAACTCTGAATAGACGATCGATTCGTAAAAGAATACTATTCGTTAAAGTACTCTTGTAAATTTATGAAAATCCATAGAATTGAATATATATAAGTAAAATAAAATCAATTAACCAACGTTAACTGGTTTAATCGATATACTTTAATTCTTGTATATTTTTTATAACTTTTTCTAAATAAAAGATATAAAATAATTAATAATAATACTTTTTACCTTAGACTTTAGTTTTATTAGAAAGTATAGATATCCATTAATGATCTATTTTTTCCAAACGTTAAATAAACATTTTTAGAAATGTTTGAAATAAAATCTGCAAAATTAAGCATCGATCATTTTCACGAACATTCAACGTGTTAAATATAAGAGAATCGATTTGTTTCATCTATCCAATAAAGAATAGAAATTTTATAAAAAAAATAAAAGAAATAAATAAATTCAGTTAAATACTCGTAAAAGGAAACGTACGCACGCGCACACATACACACACACACACACACAATCGAATTTTCCGTCCGTCGCCTTTGGCCTTCGGCGTCTTCCTACGAAGAAGACGAAGAAAAGGAGTAAGACCCAAAGAAACGCATTCTTCGTCGCGCATCGAACTGGGAACAATAGGACACTCGCAGTATGGACACTCGCAGCACTCTCTCTTTTCTTCTTCTTCTTCTTCTTCTTCTTCTTTCCCTCGAGAAGAAATTGACGATACTCGCGACGAGTTAGCGACCTTGAGACGTGTCGAGTGACGCGAAATGCATCGAACAATGCATCGGAAAGAAAAATATATTTATATTTCTAATAATCAAATTTTAGAACTTTTTGTCACGATTCGGACAAAATACATATGTATATATATATGTACATATATATATACGTATATATATACACATACATACATACATGCATGCATATACACATATCATACATATCATACATGCCATTACATATATAAATCATACATATATATACATGTACATACATACATCATACATACATACATACATACATACACACACACACATATATGTTTTATAAAATGGAGAAACACTACGTGCGTCGTCGTGTGCGGACGCGCGCGACTGCACGCGCCACGACTTGGTTAAGAGGCAAGCAGAGAAAGAGATCCGAATGTCTTACCCGGCTGGCAGTCGCGAATGGACTGACTACGGGTTACTTTAAACACTATAGTCTCGGCTGCATCGGTGGACTTTAGCGCGCTGTGCATGGGCACCTTATTGCCGCTACGGTGCTGTCTACACTCGCTTACGAACAGAAACACATACAAACCAAACCCACGAATACACACACATACACATTTATATATACGAACACACACATTCAAAGGACCAAAGTTCCTTCGTCTCTTCTTCCTTCCACCGATCTCTCCCTTTCTCTTTTTCTCCTTTCCCGCTTTTGCTCTCACTGCTCGTTCCGTCTTTATATGTATATATATATATATATATATATATATATATATATATATACAATATATATACATATAGACACTATATATATATGTATGTATGTATATGTACATGTATGTAAGAATGCTTATTCCATGTATCTTCATACACACACCCTGTATATGCGACTCCTTTCTATAGGGTGTCGTGTTAGCATCTTAACTGCTACGAGAATATTGTATCTACTCTTTTATCTTTAGGGTCACTGGAGTATTTTCGTTATTATAATTATTATAAATTATTATAATGTGTCATACCTATATTATGTATATACATATATATATATATATATATATATATATATATATGTATTTATAATATGTATATAGATAGATATATATATATATATATATATATATATATATATATATATAAATAGATAATGATTTTATTTCATTGCTTATCATCCATGACCACTTCTCGACTTTTAATGACTCAGTCAGTAAAAAATTACATAAAAAAAACAACACATCGTAAAGAATGCGATGATCAATTCCACTTTTTGCTCATCTATGCTGTTTTAATACGATTAGTTGGAAAATTTATTTTTTATCAAATATCGTTTAATTTATACATTTAATATTAGGAAAATAATATATTTTACGTTTAAATTCGTAATACATATATTATATTATGTATTATATGTCAAATACAATTGTATTAATACAATACAATAGTTTATGTAAAATATAATTACATTAATGTAGTATTATGTTATTAATAAAATTATTAATCGTTATTATAAAACTATTATATATATATATCAAATATAATTGTATTAGTACAATAGTTTATGTAAAATACAATTACATTAATATAGTATTGTATTATTAATAAAATTATTAATTGTTACATAGCAAACTTTCCATTTAGTTATTTCTTTGTTATTCCAAATTTCTTCGATGGCATGGATTTATAAGTTATAATAATTAATTTAAAAAATATAACAAATAAACGCTGATCATAGATAATCGATAGGATAAACCTTAAGGAATATCTCGAAATTACTTACGAATGTAAATAGAGTAAACATGTGATAAGAAAAATCTAAAAATTTTCCAAGATTATTTTCCAAATTAAAAATGATAAAGATTATAGAATAATTGTTTAAAATTGTTTTCTAAATGGTCAGTCCACGTTCGTTATATCAGGACGAAGCAAAGAAATGTACCTATTTACGTATATAAGAACGAACATATTCCTACGATAAAAAAATCGTCCTTGAAATCGATTCTACGTTTAAACGTTAAATTTCATTCGAAATGTATTACGCAGCACCGAGTATACTAGTCGAGATTTACCTTCGCTCTCTTACACTAATGCTCCAGACGAGGTGGTAAGTACGTGAAAACAAAAATGTGTGCACGCCCACAAAGAGCAATAGAAAGGGGTGGGGTGAGGTAGGCATAAGGTAAGGTAGAGGGGTTAACAATATATCGAAGTCGGTGCTTCTCGGATTGTGTGTATGCTCGATGGCGATCGGCGATGTCTCGTTAAGGGATAGACTCGAAAGACTGGATCATCGGCTCGCGTTGATCGCTAAAAATAGAATTCTTCTTCTTGTCAATCCTCGAACGATCTCGCTTTTGTTCATCCTTTCATTATGTCTCGGCTAAGGTTACTCCATCGTCCGTGAATTTAGCAAACAATATTTATAATCGATTCGAATTCATTTTTATTCTTTTTCTATCAATTTTTAATGTTCGAATATTTATAATTACTTCTTTTTCTTTTTATTCTTTTACAAGAAATTATTTGATCAAATTAAAATTAAATTCGCTATCTATATTCATTTCGTATAATGAAGAAATATGTAAAATTAAAATTAAATTAAAATATCGTGAAAAAAAAACGCGATCAGTTTTATTCATTTAAAATCTAATCTTTTTAACCTTTTTAAAATTATACCTTGTACGTTACGACGAATTCACGAATACGATAAAAAAGAAATCAAAAATGTAAAACGCCTACGTAATCTTTTCTTGGAATCGTCAATTGCAAGACTCCCACGACACGATCGAGGAAGAAATTTCAAATAATTCGTATGGGTCGTCGGCAAGAATCAAAGAAAAGATTACGAGCTAGTGAAATTGGGCACGGCGATCAAGATGCTAACCATTTGATAGGCAAGAAAGCGAATTTTCTTTTTAAAATCCGATATTTTATGATGGACATTATGTTTCGAAGTTCCGCAATGCATCTCGCGGAATTTTAAACATTTCTAACTCGATGCTGACC